TCGGCTGTGATGATCAGTAATGCTGTCTGTTATGGGCTGTGATAATCAGCAATGCTGTCTGTTATGGGCTGTGATGATCAGCAATGCTGTCTGCTGTCTGTTATGAGCTGTGATGATCAGCGATGCATGCTGATATCGGCTGTGATGATCAGTAATGCTGTCTGTTATGGGCTGTGATAATCAGCAATGCTGTCTGTTATGGGCTGTGATGATCAGCAATGCTGTCTGTTATGCCGTTATGAGCTGTGATGATCAGCAATGCTGTCTGTTATGCTGATAAGTGCTGTGATGATCAGCAGTCCTATCTGTTAGGCTGTTATGGGTTGTGATGATCAGCAATGCTGTCTGTTAGGCTGTTATGGGCTGTTATGATCAGCAATGCTGTCTGTTAGGCTGTTATGGGCTGTGAAAAACAGCAATGTGTTTTCTGTTGCTGTTATGGACTTTGTGATCAGAAATTGGAAATCATCTAATAAAGATAATGTTGTTATGACTTAGACTAAAAAGCAGAGGAATGCTATCTAAGGTGTCTGCCCCCATTCCCTGTACTTTTTACCCATTGACATTAATATTCATATATTTATAGATACATTTACATATATACATATACCTTTGTTCTATGCATATTTTTTCTTTTGTGTACTGCATGTTTTGCATTAGTCTCAGAGGCTACCAAAACTGCATTTCATTGCATGTTGTACCTGGATAATTTGTGTATGTGACAAATAAAGAAATCCTGAAATTCTGAATCCCGAAACAGGTTTTTCCTTCCATAGTGCTGCTTATGGTAAGTCGCTCGAGGGTAAGGGAATCCATCATCCTGCTAAGAAGTATGTGAGACTGTTTCTGACCAAGGTTTAAGTACCCCTCTGCCCTACTGCTTATTCACCGTGCTCCAGAGGTCCTCGTGCACCATGCTGACAGAGCATGCTGGATGGAGCCAGTGTGCTATGAAGGGTTTATTTTATAGCAAGTGAGCTTCCTTTGGATGCAGACCTGTGAAAATGTGCATATGGAATAAATGATTAGAGGATCCTGCTCTGAGGCTATGGCCTTAACGCATTACGTAATCATCTGGATAAGATGAGATTCCATAGGTCCAGGATCTGGATCAGCACGGTTGGTGATGGAGCTGGACAGTAGGTCCGTTACCACGTTCTTGCATCTAGGATTGCAGCTTGGGCTGAATGATACTGTTGATGCCTCTCTGACCAGAAACAAAGTTTATGCTGCTTCTGTCAGTGGTGGGCCGAAGGGCTCCCTTCATGATAAATCTGCCATTGCTAGAAATAGTCTCATCTTACTTGTGTAACAGTGAGGGCCTAAAGGGTAAAGGCAAGGAGCCAGTAACTGGAACAGCACAGTGCTGCCCAGCTATCTGTGCTGAGGGGTCTGTGTCTCCCTCCTTGAAGGGAGAGGTGCTTCCCCTGGACTGCGGACAGCAGCCCCTTTGTTACCACCACACTTCTGAATATCTTCCCTCTTTCTCTACATAAATCTTGCCTCTGAAAGGAAACCTGCCCACACCAGGGGTCCCCAAGCATTTTTCCCAGAGTGCCGAAGTCCATCAAAGCAAAGCAACAATACAAGGTCCACTATATCCGAAAAAGAAAAAAATTGCTGGCTGGTGGAGACCCCTGACAACACATTTCAGTGGGGGTTGGTCGATCTCACGATCGGAAACCCATTGTGTTTCAGGCCTGCTCCCTCGTCACCCAAATTTCCTGGCCCATCACATTGCTAAGACAAAAACCAGTTGAGTTGCACCTGGGCATGTAATTCTTTCCTTAAAAATCAATATAAAATTTGCTAAATTCTGCAAAAATATGCATGAGTCTCAAGTAATGTACTCCTTGAGCATTTAGGTTGCGTGGATAAAATGGGGGGCAGATGTGGCTGGTACAGTGGCCTCCTTGCTTTATTAACCAACAGTCTGGACTCAGGGGCAACATCACAAACACACAACTGCAGGTCATTTAGTTTTAAAAGGCAGTATGGTGACATGCAACAATCAAAACTCAAAAACTAAAATTTTCTATGGAAGCAGCAGTACAGCTTACCCAGATGAACAACATGCCCTTGACCAACACCAATGTAAAACACAAGTTATAAACAGCATCATTATTAAGCTATACACACCTCAACAATAATAATCATGAATGACAATAAACAAATAGAATACTAAGGCACTAAGGGTCATAGGGAAAACTCACCCAAAACAGAACCAATCACAGTCCAGATCTTTCTGAGGAAGTGCTGCAAGAATGCATTCTTTAGTGACATCCAATACAATATGATTACATAATACCTTGCAAAAACATTCACACCCTGCAAATGTTTTCAGACATTGTGGGATTACAAATAATAGATATATGTTTGTCCAGTTATTATTTATTTTGCATAGTGATATACTCAAACAGAAAATATTTTAAGCCATAATGAATTGTCAGCAGATAATGGAAATATTGGCTACAACTGAAAAATAAAAAACACTGAGCATGTTAGTTTTCCTTTGTGTGATCTTTACACATTAATCCCAGTTGTGAAAAATTCAGTTGATTAACATATAAATGAAAATGGTGATTTGATAAGGAAGAAAAGAGTTATTAGTTTTAAAGATTTAAATGAATTACATCAATATTAAAAATACATTTTCGAGGGCCTGCATAAATTATATTATTACAAAGGTAAATCATCAATAACTATATTTACAATTTCATTGCAATTTATTCAATATCATTTCATTTGAATGAGAGACTGAATAATTCAGTAGTGTACTCTAAATAGTATTAATAATTGCGAAAAATCAGAGTGGCACTAATAGTTCCAGCAAACATATGGTAATTTATAGTGAAAGTCCTTGTAGTATTTTAACATTTACTTTTCCATCTATCTTCCAACAGTCCTGGTTGGGGTTGCAGGGACACCCATCAATAGTGATGATAGCCATACACAAACAATAATACATATGGCAATTTAGAGAATCCAGTTAACTACCCATTTATACATTAAAGGCTACAACTACTAATTGATAATGTCAATAATAACTGGCAATAAAAATAGTTGACAATGACTTTTGTCATTGATTGGCTACAATTTTGTGTATAATGACATCACATAGCAAAGTTAATGTTGGTATGTTTGTACTTCACTTTTCTATGATTCATTACACTCTCCACACAGTAGTGCACACAGACTCTTGGGTACACACTACATTTACCCAGGAATGCAGATGGTCGTGGTCGGTGCATGTGTACAGTAGTGATATTCCACCAGACCAGCAGAGGGCAGATGTATTGCAACAAACAGAAATACAAGCAATATAGTGAAATAAGTAAACTTTCATGAAGTTTTAAAATTGTTACTAGGCTTTGGCAATATTACGGTAATACGATATACCACGGTATTTTGGAATCATGGTGACGAAATTAGCTGGGACCTCCGACCTCCCTAGCTCAGCAAATTTTATGGCGAAGTGCTAAATTTTTATTACAACTGTGACTTAAAAATACAGACGCTCCTCTACTTATGAACTTTCAACTTACGAACTTTCAGACATACGAACGAAGAGGACCAAATTGTCCAAATTGTGTTCATTGGGTTCTCATTTCCTGTACGCAACATCAAATTTTTTTTCCTGCGCGCCAATTCCGCCTAGTATTTCTGGCCGCTACTACCGCCGCGCAGCAGCGTAGCGTGCGTACTCCCAGCATCCTAGTTCTTTGTACCTGCGTATACCCTTAAAATGACGTTGAATAACGACTTACTAACATTTCAAGTTACGAACGGCCCTTCAGAACATATCTCATTCATAAGTAGAGTGTCTGTACCTCAATATTTTTGTTTGATTATTATTATTTGTTTTAATAAAGCATTTGCACTTTTCTTTAAACCTTGTGCTTTGGCCCAACTAATCTACTAATCATCTGATCACATGATTAACCAGTCATCGAAATATTTTTTTTGCCACCCTAATACAATTAGATTCTATGTGCAATTCAGGAATATTAATGAACCTAACTGCATGTCTTTGGGCTGTGGAAGAGAACTGGAATACCCAGGGGAGAGAAACACAGACACACACACACACACACACACACGGCAGAACTGAACCCCAATTCCAGTGTGAGGTGCTGCTAAAGACCTACATCTCTTTTCAAGTATTGAAATCAGTGTGTCTGTTGCCAGGTAATTTCAGTGGATTCTATACAGATATATCTGACTTTTGATATCATTTCAGAGAAGCCCATACCATCAACACACTAATTTGGTCAAATCCTTGTACAAAAAGATTTGATGATGGTAGTCAACCTCAAAAATCTCTAAAACACAGAACTGATCTGAAATTAAATCAATTACAGTCATGTGTCGCATAAAGATGTTTAGGTCACTAATCACGTAGTGACATCATTGTGCAATGCATCACTCACGGGTTTGTGGTGATGCTGCTGTAAACAAATCTACTGTGGTGCCAGTCGTATAAAAGTATGGAACACACAATTATGCATAGTACATAATACTTGATAATGATAAAGCAACTATGTTATTGCTTTATGAATTTAGTATACCGTACTCTTTTTACCAAAAAAAAAAAAGATTACTGTAGCCTAGGTCTGTAGTAGGCTATACCATATAGGTTTGTATAAGTACTCTCTACGATGTTTGTGCAATGACAGAATCGCATATCTCCAAATATATCCCCCTTGTTAAGTGGTGCATGACTGTGCAGGCATTCAACTCGCACCGACCTTTTGACCCTAGATATTTAGGTGAACATTCTTATTTTCTTGTATCTCTTCATACAGATGCTGTCTGAACTTCAACATTTCTTCCAAATTCTTGTATTGTAAGACCTCCTGTATGGATAATAGTCTTATATCTTTGGGAAATCTAAAAGTAGACTTGCCATACAGAGAACAGATCATCTGTGATGACAATGTGAATGAGCGCCTCAGATCAGAGCATTGTGGAAAAATGCTAGCATTCCACAAACCAAACTTGCCCATGTCACCAGAAAATTTAAGGTCTTCAACCCTTAAGCTCCAGTGATGTAGGCATTTTTCAAGACTATTTCCGAAAAGCTGCAGTTTGTCGATTTCAGTCAATGAGGTCACACACTGTTTCATATTGTCCTCTATTGCAAATGCAACTGTCACATAGCTTGTGGTGCCACGTACTTTCACACTCAGCGAATGCATGAACACACCAGAAGGTACATGAAGATCACTGCTGACGTCACACCCGCTGATTATTGCACCCTCACCTATTGTCACATTAGCGCCAAGTCTGGAGTACTCAATCACTGTCCCTGGACCTACACTGCAGCTCGGATGAAGGACACTGTGAATTATGCAACTGCCTGGCACTACACTAGGGCATGTGCTGAATGCACTGGAAACCAGATTAAGTTCAGACCTAAAGTTATCATCTTGTGTCAAGTGGAAAAGGTATTCCCCAGTAGTGCCAATGTGATAGAATTTAGAGTTATTGAGAACAATAACATTAAGGGCCTTTCCTTGAAGCCACTGAAATATAATTTGCCTGACTTTTAAAAGACTGCTTTCTTCTGTCGTCACATTGCTAGAGTTCTGGGTATACGCTATTGTGGCTCCAGGGCCCAACGCCTGCAGGAAATCCCCATAGGCATCAATCTCACAAATTATAGGCCTGATGTCTTTGAGCAAAAGCAGCAGACATTGCACTGTTGCATAATCTATATAGTATGTGCTGTCAGTGTAAACAAAATCAGAATTGGTTACATTCATAGCAGTTCCCTTGCACACCGCACCATTTTCGTACATTTTTTCAATGCTTGGTTTGTGGAGAAAACGGTAACAGGACCTGTATTCCATCTGGGAAGTTCCAGATTCTTCCCTGGGATCCAGTACAAACACTCCATGAGTTGTCCCGATGGAGAGGGGGGAGGGGTGAGCTAAGGCAGTAAAGCCAGGCTTGTCAAAAACGATCTTCTCTGTGCTTGCGATGTTGTAAAGTTCAATGTCATCGGCACAAGTCACCAAAACCCCAGGTTTCATGTCAATGGGGAAGTCTATGTACATTGACAACTTAAGTTCAAGCATCTGGTATACTGGGTCACCAAGTGGCAAGGCAGTAAAGATTTTTCCTAAGGCACTGGCATTTGGAAGTCTTTGACTCAATCCTCCTGGGATGCAAAAGAAAATGGTTAGAGTTAGCATGGTACAACATTTTTCAAACCTGCTTCCATTCACAAAGTAAAAAAATGCAAAACGAATAAATAATTGTACACACCTGCATGTATAATCATTATTTTAAACTTACTCAGACTCTCCCCATACTTATCTTCCAAGTTTTCTAAGACATATAGCGTGGAACCGCCATTGCCTGAAGAGCAATAAAAATATTTGATTAATTCTCAAGCTAGTTAAATGCCTGCACTTACAGTTAGAGATTCATTCAGAATTAGCTACCTACCTATTTTATATCCGGGAGGATCAGCAAACACATGATAATGAATACCAAGTGGAAGTTCTCTTCTACGGAGTTTCTCGGAAAGTTGCAGTTCGTATGCCAGTTTCTGGTCTTCATCAATGGCTGTGACAACAACAATATCCCAAAACTCTCCTGTCCGTACTTCATGGCCTACAGATAAAAATACAAAAGTCAACTATGCAATTTTTTTTTAGGAAGAGTACGGGGTTCCAACAATCCTCCCCACAAGCAGACATCTGTCAAGACTCTTTCCAGTTGGGAAAATATACAGCTTTTTTCAAAATCTAATTTAATCCTCCATTAAATATTTTGAATAAAAAACATTAATTAGATAATAATTAGCTTGAAAACTCAAAGTTTGGTATTTACTAACAGTTCCAAATGCTTAAAATACCCCACAATTTTGCTCCCACTGGCAACAGTGACACTTACACTTTGCTGCGATAGCAGCCCCACATGTAACACAAGCTGTAGCGAGTGCACAAAACAACCCAAGCTAGTGACTCCCAAATTATCCATTGTTTTTTTTTATACTAGTCATGTTGCCCTGCCAACTGCATGACCTTGGTTTAATGGGATTTTCCACTCTAGGCTACTTCCATCTGTCAAAACTTTTTGTTTTAAAAAAGATTGCATATCAGTGCTACTAGTTGTCGTTTCAAGCATAAAGAACATGTTTCTTAGTTTGCTTTGCAAGCATGCAAGTCACATTTGCTATCGTCACCCTCTTATCTGACGTTCTTATGCTAATCCTACTGCAAAGGGTATGCACATGACGTCACGGCAGGCAGACGTCACTGCACTTACACCCACTGAGTGGCATAAAAACTGAGTGGCAGCACTATCGTTCAGCTTGAGTGCCGCAAAAACAAATTTAAAATAGGAAAGCTGTTGTGCAACTGATTGTAGAAATCAATTTAACAAGAAATAGAAGCTATCTTTTTACAGACAGAAAACTAAACAAGTAAGTATCGGATGTGGATCGGTCACATATGGCTTATACCCGATCCATCTAATTAGGTACGGATCGGTGCAGATACCAATCCTGAATATCGATAGATCAGTGCACCTCTAACAATATCCAGGGCTCCCTGAGAGAAGGAGGAAGAGAAGGAGGAAGCACCTCCTTCTGGAAACACTGACAACCCCAACACAACCTTCAGCAACCTTCAAGGTCTTGTCACAGAAGGTCTCCCACATCACATTAGGATCTGCAGTTGAAACCAAGTCTACAAGTTTCTCACACAAACTGCATGCAGACTCATTAAAAACAGACTGATCCTAGAGTCTAGCTAAGTCAAGTCTCATTGTCATAGGAAGTGGTATCCAACTAGACCAAAGCTGACTCTTCAGAGTAGTAACAAGACGTCTGTGGTCAGAATTCACAAACTGGGCACTTCTGGAGACCCCGCAGTTCTGTAGGGCCACTTTTCCACAGCACCAAGTACCGTACGTTTGATACTTTCTCTTTTTTGAATTCCGGTCAAGTACCAAACCAAAAGTTCCAGTACCAAGAGTGCCAAACCAGCTGGGGTGCTACTTTGGGGTGCTACTTTGGTCCTTTGGGGGGGACTTGAAACGGTTGCTTTGTCGACTGGTTATTCAAAAAGCTTGCTTCTGAACCACAATACAACCGTAATCTTAAAAAAAAGTTACAAACTCAGATAAAAATGATAAAGTAAAAAAAAAAAAGAATTGCGATCTGGTCTGAAGGACGGGTACAAAAAAACATCATAAAGACATTTTTTGAATTCACTACAAAATACCCCGCCTAACTTTTATGATGTCATTTGGTGCTGGTAAGCAGTTTTTATGCCAGTGGAAAACCAACGCCTTGAAGTACTGTACTCGAAGCACCCCAGGAATCTCCAGCATCTGCCCACAAGGATGTGATCGATCTCCTTCACCGCACCAGAAATGCCGGTGCACCAAATCCAACGATGCGGCTCAGGACACTGGAACTTTTGCGAAGTCAAGGAACATTAAGCCACTTTCACCATGGTTGCCAGACCCGTATGGACAGACACAATCCTCATAGCCAGCCCTGTCAGTGGTTGCACTGCAGTCACCCATGGCCAGAGGAGTGTCACCTCATGGGCACCCATCAATCACCAAGCAAAACTGCAGATAAAATGTCTCCTTCACCAAGATATCACACACTGCGGTCGGAGCATACACTGAGACAACAGACAAGACACCCAGAGAGTACCTTAATCTGAGTCTTATAATACGCTCTTTGAAAGAAGTGACACTGGACACAATCAGAGGGAGCTGATCCACCATAGTATCAACTACTGCCTGAGTATGGCAGCCATCAGGGCAAACCAACCAATAATAGACCAATTCCTGTGGAGTCCTGTCTGCCGTCTCGGAGCGGGGCGAAGATTTTTACGGAGGCTGGAGTGCAAATCAGGCCACCAACCCACAAAATTTCCCTGCAAGTTGGAGGGCCACTTTCAGGACTGGATACATAGTCTAATCATATATATTCTACACAACAGAATATTAAGCTGGCTTCTTCAAATTACATACAAGTCTGTGTGATTCGAGAAAATCGTTTATATAACGATTCATGTAAAATCAGCTTTTGACATCTTTCATTATGTTCATCCACCACTGTATATTAGTGGCAAATTTACAATGTCTGCGTCATAGCTTTCAATTGAAAAGAGAAAAAGACCAATAAGGTTTGGTTGATATAAAAATTTTGTCTCAACATGATACAAATTTAAGGAGATAATTCCAGTAACAGATGCTGTAATTTTATATGGTGAAAAATTAAATGGATACCAGTAGTTTTAGTTAAACAGCGTTTTACTAAGGGACATGATGATGTCAATTTGTCAAACTCAAAGAGCCAAAAATATGAACATGAAACAAGTTGCCTTATAACTTTAAAACAAGTGAATAACAGAAAATTCATAATGTTAAACTCTCAAATAAGTACATTTTACGACAGTACCTCATGAATGAACCATGCCGATAAACACAAAAACAAATCACTTTTGGCCCTAAAGTTTTTCTGTGTCATAATACAATGTTTTCATTCCCATTGTCTTTTCACACTTTTGTGCCTAATTTATGGTAAGTTAAGGAGCTGGGTTAGTCATGTATAGTGTATTATTGGTGCTCCTGAATTTGTTCATTATCTGCAATAATACACATTAAAGGAATTTTCCTGTAAACCATGCAACACACATAGCTCGGAAGTGAGCTTCGAAATAACTGCGATTACCAAAATCCATTGCGCCTACGGGCACGGAAGTATACCCGGAAATATAATACAAATATGATGACGCCACACAAACGATACGTCGGATGGTCATTTTATAAGAGTTTAAATATGTATTGCATAGAATAAAGTGATAATGAAGCAACTGCGCTTTGTTTTCTAATTTGTCCCTGGAATTATCCTTAATTATTGTGGAAAAAGTACAACATCTACTTATGTATTTAACCATTACACTGCCATACTGATATATAACCACTCTGTTATCGCTTGTTTTAGATGTGATATTCTGAAGCAGTAAAAATTGTTGCCCATGTAACAGAATCTCCTTGCTAAGAGACAAGCTATGCTGCCGTGTTAACTACAACTGGCGACTACAATGCGAATAAGCAGCCGACTCCAGTCTCGTCGAAGCCAGCAAGCGCTTGTTTATTCGAGTAGAGACTGGATAAGATGTTTTTTTTAAAAGAAAAAGAAAAAAAAACTTACAACTGTTGTATACTAACAACTGAACTCGATACAAAACGGAGTGTCATTTTCTTTTATAAAAATGTCAATTAAAAATCTGAAGTGCATTCAGGAAATGGCCATATAAAACATTTATCACAATAGAGCCTGCAAGTTGCCGTAAATGGGTTATACCTAAATGTCATTCACGACTAACATCTGTGTGAACAGCACATCTGGTATCTAACTAGCCAAATAAAAAAAGAGAAAAGTGAAGGGCTGTGTTTTACCTCTTAATTTATTAAACTTTTCGAGTTTTTCCGCAGCAGCTTTTTGCAGTCTGTGCATTTTAAAACGTAAAACTCCGTACTGACATCCGCGTACACATTCGCACACTTCAGATTCAGGAAACTGCTATACGCCCGGAAGTTACGCAGCATTTGCCTGTTGCCATGAAACGTAGACGCGTCCGCCGTATTGATCCGGACAAGTACTGTACAGGTAAACAGGGTGCTGTTTTTTCAGATAAAACCCATTATAAAGTACTTATTTTTCAGCCAATTTCGGATTACATTTATCGTATATGCAAGGCCTTGCGATGCACGTTTGAAAAATTGCTTTGTTATATTCTACTTGGCGCTTCAAAGAGAGGATTGTGTAGATCTTTTGTCAAATTAATTGCTTATGCGGTGGAAAATAGATTTTACTAAGGAATTAATAAAAGCAACAAAACTCTCTTGAAATGATGTCATTTATGTCGTTTCTGTTTTTTCCATAGTTACTTCATTGTTTTTAAAGGGGGCACAAAGTGCATAACATAGACAGAACAATAAATAAGAAGCTTGCTTAAAATACATTCTAATTAACTCCTGGACATGTGTCTACCCGTGTACAATAGAAAAATAAATATATCAGTATGTTATTTGCATTAATCTGTAAAAAATAGAGAGACAAAAATAAACAATTTAGTGTTCCTGCCAGTCCTGTAATTTTAACAAATGAAATAAATAGAATCAGTAGACCTAATTAACATACAATAAAATAACATAAAGAGGAACATATTCAACTAAAAAATGCACTGATTTGTGCAGCCCCATGCAGCACACCACTAACATATTTTCACTGAATTCCACTCAAAGTACAATATTCCCTTATTGCATGTTGCCTGAACCAATATGGCGGCACCACTGACATTTGAGGCAGAGGTGAATGTGGTGTCTATGTATCCATGTGCATGGAACTTACTACTGATTCTTGAATGCTGACTCCTCTTCAATTTTTGATTATGTTTAAAAGGTCGTTTCAACGATCTCTCTATATCTATCCCACAATTGCTTATCCTGAAACCTATCCTAGGTGAGACTGGGCACAAAATTTGGATTCATCCTGGATTGTATGCCAGTCCACCATAAGACACATTTATTGTGTTTTAATACAAAATTTTAGATTTTGTAAAAATAATAAAGGCTGAAATTTCTCCAAACACCAGAAGCCACTATGCATCTATAAAAATGTTCTTAATGAGTATTACCATAGTACAGTCATCATATACATCACTGTATTTGTATAATAGTGAATTATATACAGTATATTCTACATAGAATCGTAAAAGTAAAATAGATTTTATTTCACATACAACATTTAAAAGAGATCAACCTTGCTTCCCCTCCCATTTTATATTGTAAGTAATGGAGTTCCAATGAAATTTTATTCTGGGATGAATATTATTTTTGGAATGCAATAATTGTCAAATAAATTTATTGCACAACCTATCCAACAGGAAATATCTTTTCAATGTAAGTAGAGGCAATTAATGTGCAACCCCATTAGATGAATTAAACCAGTGAGCATGATTAATAATAAATTTATTGCATTCTTTAGAGGAATCAGGAAATTTATTATGAGTCATAGGACAGGATATGACCCGCTTCCCCTTATGATATGTCACCAACAAAATATATGCTACAGCACAGATTCATTTATTTGCAGTAAAATTACTGTTTTTCCACTGAAGAGATCTATGGGGAGAGAAGTTTTAAGAGGTGTTTATCTATCAAGTAAAAGAGAAGATTAGATCAGCACTATCCACTAGTATATCAGAAACCCAAACATTAAACAAAATATGTTAAAACAAACATGTACAAATTCTGTATGACACATTTTTCACCAGAGACAGCTAATGTGTGGCATAAAAGAAGTTCTTGCCAGGTATTCTTAAAACTATTGTATCAAAAATGAAACAAAAAAATCAATATAAAAATCCATATGAAATGGTGAGTTTACCTCTGTAGTCTGAAGTCCGCATGGTTTGCTCCTCTTTATGTTGTAAAGAGGTGACACAGCTTAGACAGGAACCCTAGTACACACACAGGCTTTCCGAGGGTATGTGGTGGTACAGGAAATGTGGAGTAATTCAGCTTTTCATTAGGAGAATTGCAAGCGATAGAGATTGCCATTTCAAGCTTAACAACCTCCTCCTTCTCTTCATTACCATCATTTTCATACTCTTCCCTGCTCTGATTAAGGTAGGCTGGAAGTCTGCCACATATGCCATCGAGCTCGAGGATCTTAGTGAGCGGGAGGTCCCTAGAACGACGTGAGTTAATGTTCTTACATTAATGTCAGAGCCACCACCTTGTGTTTGGCATTGCATCTGAGGTCACACTACTTCCTGGTAACTTCAATGACCTCACACAAGTTATGTTCACATGGAACGCCAAAGAGCTGCTCAGCATTCAGAAGACAGGCTGCATTAACTGCAGTCACCACATTCACTATTACTTTAACAGATCCAAGACAGATTACATTCAGGCCCTTCTCACTTACTAACACTGACTGGGTCATTTTCACGCACCAAAATATTTTGTGTAGAGAAATTGACATCACCTTAACTTTTCCATTTGTTGCTCTGATTTAATAAAACTGTAAGAGTTTTAAGGTCAAATATCACGAAACTAGTTGACATGTTTATAAATCTTTCAACTTTATCGCATGTAATCCACAATAAACAATCACTTTGTATGTTTTTTTTCCCTTAGTTTTTTGGTAGTTTTATTTTCTCATTTCTCTGTTGCGCTGTACTTGATGAAATACTTTTGCTTATTACAGAAGTAAATGGTAATATGACAGCTAACACAATGATGTTGTGTATTTTCCGTCTGTCTTCAAACAAATTTTAGAAATCGATTATAAAAACTAATTTAAAGAAAATCGATGCTACGGTAATGAGTTTGTGAGAATGACTTGACTATGCTAGTGAATGAACAACCTGATGAGTACTTGTTACCAGTAAGTAATGGTGTGTCATACAGACATAACTTTCATTAACACATGGAACAAAGTTATATTTTGATTGTACGTCTCTTTCTTTTTCGGATGTCAAAGTGGCTTAGTGGGTAACACTGTTGCATCACACCTCCGGGGCTGCTGGTTTGAAGCTCATGTACTGTGTGTGGAGATTGTATGTTCTCCCACTGTCACACGTGATTCCCTTGGACACTGTGGCTCCCCTCACAGTCCAAGGATATGCAGGTAGGCAGTCAGCCCTCCCCCCCACGTCCCCGATCAGGATATGCAGTTAGGCAGTCAGCCCTCCCCCCCACGTCCCTGATCAGGATAAGCAGTTGTAAAATGGATGCGTCTCTGTATCCTTTTTCGCTGAATGACACGGAACTTGCTCAGTTTCTTACACTGCACTGTTAGTTACCTCAAGATACGTGTAATTCACTAGTGCACACTTGATGGCGACACTATCAGGGTCTATCTCACAGGTATAATTTGCTGATGCAGAAAAAGGAGTTTAAATTCCCAGGCTCTCTTTTACAGTTTTAGTGCCTGATCTTTAGAATCTACTCAGATTGAGCTTGGTGATACATTATGCTTCACAAAGGTACTTAATTCGCTTATCAATTCAAGGCACTGACTAAACATAAAAATTTGATGCGCTGTTCGATTGTAGGAATCAACTGTTGGAAACTGATACAGACACTATTGATCCCACCCCTATTTGAAAAAGCAGCAGTGTTTCCATAATCATTTTTCAGCGATTCAGTTATATCCTCAATGGCATCATCAGCTCAGCAATAACCTTCCTGTATCACCCCATTTAAGCTTTTCAATATAAATGTTTTATTATTATTATTTTTAGCTTTTAGACATGAAAGTGTAAAACACATCAGCTGTCCCCACCTGTGAATGGAATACTGGAGACCATGTAGTTCCACTAATGAAATGTACCCCCTCTCAACAGATTGACAGAGAAATCAGTTTAGCAGTCAAGCAGTCAATAATTCAAATGATTACCACTGTTGCTTTTATTGTAGATACAAGTGAACAGTGCATTACACTGAAGATAAAAGAAAGACAGCGTGAATTTGTGGCAGGTATTTGAGGTATAAAGCTTATAATAATTCATTATGTGGGTAACAATAAACATCTTAATTACACAGTATTATAAAGGATGGTAAAGGCACTCAAGTAAAATGTTAGCAAAAAATGTTTAAAAATTGTTCTCCTTAGAAATGTCAGGGGCTGAAAGGAGATCACAGACAAATACAAGTACCCATAAATAAACATGAAGTAAAACTAGTTTCGCCCTCGTTTTCAAAAATTTCCATCTCTTCATTTCTGCATGACAAGTAATATGAAGGAAATTAGAAATCATATGCAGCTCGAGCTGTGGGAAAATGATGTACTCTGTATACTTTTATCACAGCAAATATAAGTATGCTGTTATTTTTAATTAATTGTGAAACGCGCCATCACGGTTTCAGACTTACTGTGATGGAAAAGGCATATTTATTACTATTTGCATTTTAGCGGAAAAGTATCTCTCATTATAATTATTTCACACCGCACACAGTTTTTCTCTAATCTATTGCATTTAGGCAGAGAAAATAAGCCATTACCAAAAATAATAAAAAATATGTTTAGGAAAACAATTCACTTCAAGCAAAGCCTTGTGCAGACATCTTCTGGGCTTAGGAATACATGGTCAGTTGCAGCCACTACGGAAAGAAAGTTTATCATTTATCCTTTTCAATAATATATTAAACATTGGTTTTAACTTATTCAAAATTTGAAACAATATAATTAATATATTAATACAGCTAAAGAACAGATATTTATGTCTGGAGACATTTTAAATGACATTCACACATCATGCATGTTTTGCAAATATTTAAAATCAGATTAATAATATTAAAACTTATAGTATTTTTTTCATTTTACCTCTTGGACGTTGACCTTAATGGTTCCATTGTTGTCCTTGTCAAGGGTTTTGAAGGCACCTAATTTTAAGATAAAGAATGTAGGCTGAAAGCAGTACTGAACACACTACATCCACATTAAGCAATTTGTTATTTGAGTTCAAAAAGAAACTCACGGCACATGGCGTCTAGTCGCACCAGGCAGCCAATGTAATTGTCAAAGTCCATGTTACCATTCTCATCACTGTATCTGCGTATAATCATGTCAAAGAGCTGGGTATTGAGAGGAAAACCTGAGTGGTGCAGAAAAAGGAAAGAAAGATCAGAAAAACCACCATGAATGTATGTTTTTAGCACTGCCATGAAAATACTCAAACATTTTTATCCACAGCAATTTTTGAATGCAAAGGTACCTACACAAAAAAAAAAGATACAGAGAAATACCAACAGACCCATATGGCAAGGGAGGAAGCCCAAGAGAGCACACAAAGTCCATAAGCTCAAAATGTATATTTATTTATTTTTAACTATATAATCCATCCAGTACACAGGACAATAGCTTAAACATCACTTCATGACTTGGAATAAACTGGTTTTAAATACATTTAGGGTTCTCAAGTCATGCGAGATACAAGCAACTGCAAATGGAGATATCTTTTCTTTATTCTGGTTTACAATTCATCAGTTTAAGGGACCTCTGATGTAACACTTGAGTTAATGTATAATTGTATATTACTTAAGGCCATGTTTTTAGTAATTAATTACATTCATAAGGCACTATAAACATGCCTATAAATATCAAAAGGCATAACAGCCATATGTATTATGCAGTATGAATATCTCACCTGTAATGCCCTATAGATACCTTTATAATGCATTATAATGGTCGGTATAAGCATTAAGGATGCTTTGTACTGCATTATAAAGGTATCTATAGTGCATTATAGATGAGAGTTTCATAAGGCAGTCATAATGCATAATTAACATAGCTATAATGAATTCTAATTCTAAATTTTAATCCCAATGTGTTATGCCTTTTGATAAATGTACAGCCATGTTTATAATGCATTATGAATGTGTTTAAAAATTCCTAAAAACATGGCTTTAAGTAAGATGTTACCAAAATTTTTAATGAAGCATGCTTTGTAATTGTGCTATACACAATTTCAAATAAATTCTAGAATGGTCTGGGTTCACAGTATGTATTGTGATTGCTCATAATGTGTACCATTATGCCAACATTAACAATTCCATTCAAATTTGGTCATATTAACTAAATGATTTTATTTTATTTTTTCTGAATCCTCAACTGTTTGTAATTCTTGTGATATCACGTATTTGAAATTAGAATAAAATAATTTTATATTGGATTTAAAATGTTCTCTCACCTGCAGCTGTAAAGGCAGCTGGCAGTTCATCCGCTCCTATGACTCCAGAACGATCTGCATCATACGACTTGTAGATGCCCTGAGAAAATGTCAATCAGCAAAGGAACCACGTTAAATGAAGCCAATGTTATTAGTCATTGATACTGGTCAGTGTCTCTTCTGTGCCCAGGAAACATTACTTCACATTGAATTAAGTAGTGATTAGACAATAAACTGGTGGTGTGGAAAACAACAGAAGTTCTGATAAATACACTGCGGTAAACAGAGATAAAAAGGGAAAAAAGAAGCATAGGGGACAAATGACAGGTTGGCAGAGGGGTTCAAAAGTACATAAACCTACAGTACAAAGTACATAATCCCTGATGTCATCACCAGCTTCAGCACACTCAGTATTAATGGAAATGTTTTTTCACCCTCTTCAGGTCTCCAGTCTAGGTGTGAAGTGCCCAAGTGCCTTTTTTTCTACTTATATTAAAACATTCACATTTTTATTTTAAATCATCTCCCGGTTAAGGTCCTAAACCCACTTTACAGAAGCTGCAACTCTTATTTCATGCATTTCTTCCATCATCTATGGCAGCATTTCTCATCCGGGTCCATGGGCCCCCAAGACGGTCCACATTTCTGCCCCCTTCTGGGAACTGGGAGGCACCCGGGTCTATGGTCATGCTGTTTTCTGTGGTCTCCTCTTGTGTCCTCTTAGGGACTTAAATCAAACCTCCAGCGTTCCCACAAGCCATCACTCCAATACAAGCTCAGGCGCTGCATCTTCCCATCAGACACAACAGACTACGAAGTACTCAGTGTTTTCAGGTCTCTCAGCGGAAGACACTTAATGTATCTTACTGACCATCTTTCCACTCCAATCATTTGTATATGAATAATACATTATTCTGATACATTATTCTGATACAGCTTTTTTCCCTCTAAAAGTTAATGCTACTGCATTGTAGTAATGACTGACATTTTGAATTTGAAACTGACATTTTTAGATTTTTACAGAACTGAGTTTCCCCTTCTGGGGACTGAAAAAATGTTCCCCACACCGTCAGAGTAACAGGTTCTTTATCACATTGTGGGGGCATTTAGTCATCAATGTAACACATACTGTACATAACACACCCACACACACACAGACACACACGCAGATACACACACATGTGCTTACCTGCCATTTCTTGATGTTATTCCATAGATGTTTAAACTCGTGAAAGCCAAGTTTACCAGTGCTATCGCTCTAGATGAAAATTCAGGAAAATCCAGACAAAAACATACAGCACTTCTGCTTTTCATTCCGCAAAGGGGCAGCGTGTGGCTCAGTGGGCTAAGCCTGTGTGCCTGTAATCAGAAGGTCACTGGTTCAAACCCAGCCTCAGCACATCTACGGGTCCTTAAGCAAGGCCCTTAACCCCCAGCTCCCTGGGCGCCGCTATGGGTGGCTGCCCTTCGCGGACAGCTTACTCTACAAAAAAAGAGCAAGTTGAGGGAGGTGTAAAGACAATTTCCCCAAGGTGATCAATAAAGTATCTATATAAAAAAATGGGTAACACAAATACTGAGATTCAAATTTTAGTTTGGGAACAACTGACTTGTATTAGAAAAGGTTTGTATTTTTACTATAGATTTACCCCAAACAAAGTCGTGTACAGAACAGTTCAGTGCACTTTTCATTTGATCAGGAAAGCAGTTTGGGAGATAAAATGAACATACTTAATCTCCAAACACACATATTAAGTAAAAATGTGGCAAGACGGTACACTATGGGGACGATCCATCCTGGTTCCTGAGTGAATTATGCTGTAATATAGGCCTATCAAACATCTCTCAACCTAAATCATACTATACAACAGCACGGTGGATAAAAGTTATATGACTTTTTAGATGAATTTTCGATAAATTTTAAATCCTCGTTTCAGGCACGCAGCCTGCAGCTCACAATACCCCAAACCCTTTCTACTGGCAAAAGGATACATCCATCACAGCTACCATGCTCCGGCAAGACTCAAGGCTGAAGCCATCCGTCTTCAGGTCAGAATCTGCAAATGTAGCAAAGACAAACATATGAGTACTTCTGGACAGACAGAGAGGAGCAACATAAGTACTGAAAATCCTCAGGTTAGAGAAGGTATACACCAAGGTAAAATATATTGTATTATAATATAATATATTACATTATTTTTCATATTATATGATATTATGCATATGTCACAGTTCGTAAGTCACATCCACGATGTCACCCCAAAATCTAGCCAACATCTACTGTACTACTCCTCAACTTTATTTAGACATCCTGTATTTACTTAATTATTCATTTTGTTTTGAAGTACAATGATCTAAATGGGAATATTGATGTAGAGAAATACAACTTTAACAAAATCCATAATGTATTCGATGTTCTTACATACCTGGGTACAATTTCAGATATCTTATGCCTTCTACAGATCATTACCAGGTCTTTTGGGTCAATATTTGCTAAACTTAATTTTCTAAGAAGTTTTTAATAGGCACTTTAGGGCTAATTTCAACTTAAAAGCAACTTGAACATGAAACTGAAAGCAAGATGTTTCAGATTGAATGTTGATCGATTCAGTCAAATTTTCATCCAGATATCAGATGTCTTAAGACTTACGCTTAGCTATGATTTTGTTAAGGATGTTCATCAGTTCATTGGGGCTGACTTCCATATCCTTTACAAAAGACAAAATGCAACAAATGATCAACTTCAATAGACAAGCATTTAATCCATCCATCCATCAACTGCTTATCCAACACATGGTCATACTGTCAATCCAAGGCAGGTAGGGGAAGAACCCAGATAGGATGCCAGGCCATTACAGGGCACATTACAGGAACACAATGGACAAGTTAGTCACCAACTAACCTCACAGCATGTTTCTGGAATACAGGAGGGACCCCGCGAACACATGGACAACACAGAAAATTAAATTTGGAATTGAAATAATTATATAAGGCTAATCTTTTATTTTGTAAAGTATGGGAGCGAATAGCATGCAGTTTTATTACCACATAGTGTTTATCAATAAAAAAATGAAACAGATAATTGCAATCGTACTGTCAATTGCAAAATTGTGGCTAGTAGGAAATGAGTGCAAAAACAAATAAGCACATCTAGAATAGTTTATATTTGTCTAAACAAATAATCAACATTGACCTTTTAGTCCCCTGTAGTATATTTAATGCGATAATACGATTCGTAAGAGACGTTCCTCTTTATTAGCGGAATTCTCCCGCAATACAGGTTCTAGTGGTCTCATGTCTCACAGCCACTCTCGGACACTGCCTTGATTTTTTTTTACGGAGCATGTTGGTAGCCCTGTTACAAATTTAAGCAAGAATCAGTGGGTTGCTAGGCGACACATTTGGCACCGTATTCAGAAAATCACTCAAAAGTAAGTTTTTCAGCCACTCAGGCTAATTTGCGTTATGTTTTTGCCGTTACTTAAATTCCCAGCTAAATACTGAATGATTGCCAATTTCAAATACCACCATTCTGTAAATTTCTCAATGGCAAATAAAACAGTAAGAATTAGTTTCTACAACAGTAAAGTTCCTCTCACAGCACCTTAAGACAGAAGCCTAACCTGTAATTCTTGCTTGGTAGATTAACTGGAAACTATAAATGACAGATCTGATATTTAGGATTTGTAATATCCGTTTCCAATAGAAGTAACTGTTAAAAGCCTGTGATCGCTACAAACAGAATACCATTAAGTGGTGCAAGAATGGGAGTGCCCAGTGATTTTCTGGCACCCAGTCCAGGGTCTCTCATTCTTCATGGGATAGACTCCACACTAAAGATTGGATGAGCAGATTTGGGAAACAGATGGACACTGATTTCAGGAAAAAGGAGCAAAAAGGATACGTACATCACCAGCAAGCTGCTGGAAGACTCTGCGAAATTGCTTCTCTTCCTCAGTCTCATTTGGGTCAGCATATGCCAGCGGTCTACGCGGTGGAGGCTGTACAACACAGGGCAGTTTTTCAGCACTAAAACAATGCAGTTGTATCTAAATATGTCCATATGAAAGCCAAGTGTGTCCATAAGCTAAGTGTACTTTAACAGTCATTTTTATATTTGGTCAGGATACATTAAACACATTTGCATTGGCAGTCAACACATACAGTGCTCTCATAAAGGACAAAAGAATGTTACACGAAATGTTAAACGCCATTTTTCTAAAATTCTGTGCAGAATAGACCATTAAGGTTTTAGTCACTAGCCATTCTAAAACTATACTTCCAATATTTCCTATCCTTTAAAGAACAGATTCAGCTGGGCAGATTCAATGACATAGTTGGACAGGAGAAGAATTTGTCAGAGTGAATGTATAATTTTTTTATTATTTGGCAGGGAAATGTTTTAAAACCTTATTTATAACTAGTCAATTTTCTTCTGAATGTTAAATATTGATACATATTAGGCAGTACTGAAAAAGCACAACCTAATAAAACCATACAAGTGGCTTAATGTCCTGAATAGATACAGATCCAGCTTATCTTCCTAAATATATAGCCTACTAAACACATACCCTCATTATCTGCATCATGCACTCTAAATACATGAGTTGCATGGTGTTGTACTGCCATGTGATAAACTGCTGTAAACAGCATTGCAGAATACTCAATGTACAGGCCTGACCTTCTCCACTGCCAAATACCAATGACAATTCTTTTCTTTTAAAAGACAAACTTGGGGAAAGAATTTATCAGTAAAAAATAATATTTCTTAAACATATTATTATATCAAAGAGATGAAAAAGATAACTGCTCACCGGGTCTGAGGGTACAAATTGGCTGGGGTCAATATTGCTGCCAAAAGATGATGATACACAGATTAGTTGCCAAGTTATTTTAAACTATGTACCATTGCGACAATATAAACCCTATCAAAATATACCATATAACTCAACATTTAAAAACAAAACAGACATCCTAGAATATTTTACAGTTCAATTACCCGGGATAATGTCGTTAATATATGATATGTATAATAAATGTTGTTTTGATATATATATATATATATATACACACACACACACACACGCACGCACGCACGCACGCACGCATATTATATATACACACACACAAAATGGTATCTATGACAAAAACAGCAGTGTCTAGGTGACAAACATAGACAGTATGCTTACCTAACAACATCCAGGAGACCACCAAGTAATTTTTTGGCCAGGTTCATCTTGTAAGGATCTACAACGCACAAATTAACAAATCACTACAGGATGATTAATATGAAAGCTATTACACTGCATATTTATGCATTACTCATAATTGCGGATTAATAGTGGATAGCCCACGGAAGTAGAATAGCATGGCGTAACTTTCTGCCAAAGTCCTACTGTTATACTACAATCATTCAAGATAAATATTCAAACAATTAGTGGAACGTAAGCGGCAGTACAGGATTTTTATACCCTGAAGGCAATGGGAGTTTCTGTCAAAACAGTTTTACGAGGCAGCTGGCTGGATGGAGGGGATTGGCCTTTTCCTCTCGTTTTACAGTAAAATCCAAAACAAGAGCTCGCTATTAAGCTATTACAGTATCACAAAGTGACAAATCAGTTTTTAAACAGAAATGCATATCATAAATTTATTTTCCAATTTACTACAAGCCTTAATATACCGTTAAAAAAGACTTACCTCGGGATCGGCGTCTTGTCAGCAATCGCACGAAAAAACACCCTACTTCCGGTTTTCAAATTAAAGGTCCGAGTGAAGCTATTTCTTTTTTTGATACAGAGGGTGGCACTCTGGCCTCACACTTCCGTGTTCGGGGTCCAAATCAGTATAAAATCGGTGCACAGCGTATAACTGTATAAAAATTTTATACCAGCGAGTTCTGAATATATCTTAATATATCAGATTTGGAGAGTAAGTAGTTGATAAAACAAAGACTGCCTATCAGCTCTCTTATACCGATGTCAGATATTTTGCTGAAAATACAAACGTGCTAACTCATTTGAGACAAAATCATCTGAATATGTGTGTAGAGCTAGAGCAAGGCAGAAACTGCATCTGTCAGTCAGTCTCCCTGTGGCATTTAAGGTACTTTTGTCAGGAAATTTTAACTGGGCTAAAAAATAACTGTAGACTATAGGGGTGTTTATTGTTAAAAATCCATGGCCATGCTTGGTTATACATAATTATACATCTAGCAAGTGATAAATCAGCTCTTGAAGCTGATGTGTTGAAAGCAGGATAAAAGCATAAGGCGTAAGCAAGCTTAAGGATCTGAACAACTCTGACAAGGACCAAATGTTGATGACTAGGTAACTGGGTCAGAACATCTCCAAAATGACACATATTGTGGGGCAGTGTTTCCCATCCCAGTCCTCGGGGAACACCGGACAGTCCACGTTTTTGCTTCCTCTCAGCTCCCAGCATACCTGTACCAGGTATTCGCGGTGTTCCTGATTGGCTGGGAGGGAGCAAAAATGTGGACAGTCCGGGGTTCCCCGAGGACAGGGTTGGGAAACACTGTTGTGGGGTCTTCCCCAGTATGCAGTGGTCAGCACCTACCAATAATGGTCCATGGAAGGCCAGCTGGTGACCTGGGGTCATGGGTGCCCAAGGCTCATTGATGCACGTGAGATTCAAAGGCTAGCCTGTCTGGTCCAATCTCACAGGAGAGCTACTATAGCACAAATCGCTGAAGAAGTCAATGCTGGCTGTGATAGAAAGGTGTCAGGTGCACCTCAGCTTGCGCCGTATGAGGCTGTGTAGCCACAGACCGGTTAGAGTGCCATTGCTGACACCTGTCCACCATCGAAAGTGCCTACAATGGGCATGTGAGTGTCAGAACTGGACCGTGAAGCAATGGAGGAAGGGGGCCTGGTCAGCTGAGTCACATTTTCTGTTTGCTGTGGACAACCAGGTGCATGTACATTGTTTTCCTGGGGAAGAGATGGCACCAGGATGATGGGAAGAAGGCAAGCTGGCGGAGGCGATGTGATGCTCTGGGCAAAGTTTTGCTGGGAAGCCTTGGGTCCTGGCATTTATGTGGATGTTACTTTGTCACATATCACCTACCTAAACACTGTTACAGACAAAATACACCCCTTCATGCTAACGGTATTCCCCAAATGGCTGTGGCCTCTTTCAGCAGGTCAGTGTGCCCTGCCACACTGCAAAAATGAGTTCAAGGTGTTGACTTGGTCTCCAGATTTCCTAGATCTCAAACCAGTTCTGGACAAACAAGGCCAATCCATGGAGGCCCCACCTGGCAACTTACAAGACTGAACAGAAAAGTGTGACAAAGTGGTAATGTTTCCCTTCAATGCTGAAATGCCAGCAGCTAACAGGTAGTATAGATTAAGATCAACCAAGGTCTGACCCCAATGAAGGGGCCAGTGGAACATAATGTCACAGTATGGACCCCAGAAGGACTGATCCGGGCTTTTTCTCCATGGCAAAGCAAGGACCGGAGGAATCTGGGCTGTTGTCACTTCACGACAATCACAGTATTTCGCAATTACATTTGGTGCATGAACTTCTGGAGATGGCCTTGCTGAACGACAAGAAGCATATCAAGAGAAAAAACAGGAAAATAAGCTGGAATGGGTACAGCTTACATTTTACCAAGATGGTGGAGGCCCAGGTACGTAGTGGAAGTGTGGCAGCATTGGGGGGTTTGGTAGAGGTAGGCGGGAGGCTGTAGGGCTAGAAGGGGTGGGGGCCGAAGTTTGGTGTTCTAGCATTGTTGGAGACCAGGGCACATTGCTGTATACTGCCTGAGTCATGGGAGTTTAGAATGGGATGAGGAGTATGATACAATGCCCAACCAAAAGGGCTCTCTCTCGCCCCCTCCAGTCTGCATTGCATTGCTTTTTTTTAGTCCTGATGGACCTCAGCCTTATTTGAAGACCACTGGTGCGCTGGCCCTTGTGGTGAGTCATAGTGAGCGTAGGTTCTATTTATAGAGGGGAACGTTGTGTGTGTGAGAGGATTCATTTAAATGAGAAGCAGAAACTTATTTATGCAGTAGAAGGGCCAGTCCCTCGTGTATCAATTGCTTATGATAGAGCTATGAGCTGGAAGGACTTATGTATCTGTCTGAAGGCACTAGAGGAAGTAGCGGAAAAGAATGATGAGCAATGGTGGTCTCCATCTGCACAAATGTACAGGATCCCACATTTAACAGTAATTCAGGTTAAACAAGTGATATGTAAACAGCTATCCCAAGGGACCTTGGCTCCAAATGCCTTATCGTTCTTGTTGGACTGAGTGCATAAATAGATTCTCAAGTAATGCCCCCCTGCTTATCGTCCTTGTTGGATGGAGTGCATAAATAGATTCTCGAGTGATGCCCCCCTGGTTGAAAGGGGAGCAAATGTTCTGAGAGGAATGCAAATGTCCCCTTATTTGCTTTTTAACACTGTGATCCCATGAGGAAAGACAATGGTCCATAGTGGTTTGTTCAGGATCTATGATTAGTGAATGCTGCTGTCCATACTTTTGATCCAGTGGTTCCACACCCTGTAACTATAATTTCTTATATCTCAATAATTAATATGGCTATTACTTTCTTCGGCATTCTCATATATCCTGACTTACTGTATCAATGGTATTACACTCAAGGTTTCTTCCTGCTAGAGGGAGTTTTTCCTTGCCACTGTCGCCTCAGGCTTGCTTGGTGGGGGTTCGGGCCACTTATATGTGAACTGTTTTGTGACAATGACTGTTGTTAAAAGTGCTATATAAATAAGATTGAATTGAATTGAAATGAATTTAATTGAATGCTTTACCAGTTGTTCTGCTGCTGACAAGAAACCACTAAGGTAAATCATCAACACTGCACAGAAAATCATTGGATCTCATGGTCACGTCAGACGTTTTTATCCTTGGAAAATTCTTGATGCATACGTATCTATACATTATTTGTTTATACACCACATATTTATTTATTAGTTTCTTTACTTTGTTTTTTCTGGATTTTCACTGGAATGACATAGCATTGGCAATGATGTAAGGCCGCTAGCCTCATAGAACTCTGTGACCCTGGATTCCTTTGGGCCTGCGCTTCATCCCTAACCCTAACCCTAACCCTAACCCTTCCTCCCTGGAGGAAACCGTCAGTTCAGCTCTGATGAGGCTGTCTGTCCAATGACTTACCTGACTGTCCAATGACCCTCAAGTATACTGATTACAAGGATATCTCAACCCTGAAGTAAAACAATAACCAAAACATCTGGTAAGAGATTGGTATATCACCAACTTCAAAGAAAACCCACTGCTTGCTTTGGTACTTAAAGGAGGGTCCATAAGTCAGGGGGATATTCTGTAGCCAGAACCCCCCACATGGCTGGTGTGATTAGCATACTCACCATGTGTAGCGTTTATCGAGGAGACACTCTGTAATCAGAGCTCCTGCATTGTGCTGTGTGAAAGGATCTGTAGCCAGATCTACCATTGTGTACCATTGTGATTCTGTAATACTTGTGATTAATGTGAAGTAGTTACAGAACGATGAGGCCACATAAATTAGACTTTGATTAGATGGATCTCTATATCTTGTTGGATTTTATAACTTGTAAATAATCTTTGCTTTGATTACTTCTTGATTATCTGAAGGTGCTAACTCCAGTGCATTCTGGATAGATTGGGCATACTGTCTTGACCGGGACCTAGATTACGTTAGAGTGTGGGGTAAGGGCATAATGCACTAACAGTGAGCGACTCTAGGTTTTCAGATTGCCATTTGACTAGATAAGTTGAGATCTCGGTTGTTATGTAAAAAACTATTGTGCAGCCTCTGAGTCGAGTTTGTCAGGACCACTACCGTCTATTATCTTTAGCGAGTGCCCAAGTTAGACTGCAGTGAGTATGGACTGAGCCTCTGAGGAGCTATATTCAGTTAGACTGCGTCACTGGACCTGACTGGCTGACTAAGCTGACATTCAGTATGTTTACATGACGTTAGAGGAAATTGAATTATTGTGTTAAACTGACAAAAACCGACTTTTAAAATACAGGTAAAAATGCTGGTCCAATTGAAATTGTACTAAATTGATTTTCTCAAGGGCAGACTAACAAGTCCAGATGCGGTTGGGAGTCAATATACTCTTGCATGTATATGTTCAATCAGACTCAAACTAGCCTAGGCGCTCTGCACATGCGCGACAGCATCCCCCCGGGATTTGACCCGGAAGTAACAGAAGAAACTTGGAGCACAGCAGAGGTCGCGTTGTTGCCACCCTCCAGCACCATAAGGTGGTGTTGTCTGCCTTTGGATAACACCATAGCCCACAGGGAATAGCATGCATCTCCTTTGTAAAAGTAGTACAACGTACAGCACATAATGACTTCTTAGGCACAGCCATCAGTAGTGTGTCTGTCTGCGGGGAGAATGTCAACCTTGTCGAAAGATTTATTTACCTCGGCAGCGACATTCATGTCTCTGGTGACTCCTCCTATGAAGTCAGCAGATGGATTGGAAGAGCATGGGGGGTCATGAGGTCGCTGGAAAGGGGTGTGTGGCTCCTGATATGTTTGCAAGAGGACGAAGGTCCAAGTCTTTAGAGTCCTGAGACATGGACGCTATCCAGTGACCTGAGACGAAGATTAGACTGCTTCAGTACTATGTCTCTTCGGAGAATCCTTGGGTACCGCTGGTTTGACTTTGTGTGTATGAGGCACATTACCTGCATTGTGAGGGAGCGTCAGTTACGGCACTACGGCCATGTGGCGCATTTCCCTGAGGGTGATCCGGCTCGCAGGAGGACCTGAGCGGCTGGTTCAGGCCGAGGGGACGCCCACGTAACACCTGGCTGCGGCAGATGGATGGCCATTTCTGAAAGGTGGGACTGGACCATGTGTCTGCCTGGGGGGTCGCTACCCGGGATCCCAGAAGTAATCTGGACAGCACAAATTATTTATAGATCATACGTAAAATATTCTAAACGATTCATTAATTATTTTGGAGCCAGATTAGTAGATTTTGCCAAAAAAGGTAAGTAACTTTTCAGAGGCACTCGGATAGGCCAACACGCATTCGGTGCCTTCGGCTACCCAACTGGATTCTACCGTTTGGCCTGTGGGCGGGTCCCTATAATGGCAATAAAAGAATTCTATTCTATTCTATCAGAAGATAAAATAATAAAATTAGTTGACACTGGCAGCCATGGATGATGAGAGGATTGCTTACAATCACAGTACTCTGAAGAGCATCTTTTCACAGGTGAAAGGCCAGCTCCTGTAACAGATACCCCCTACAAACCAGGTGGTGATGCCTTGAAAAATGACCTGAGCACTGGCACAAGCCCCGGGGACAGGAGACTGTATCAGGTGCTTCTGATGACAGCAACAGCAGTACGAGTGGAAGGACGAAATATCTGGGTCCATGCCAGTCACTGCAGGAAGTTAGCAGCACCTGGAAGAAGAAGCTGCCAATAGAGTCCTTGCCAAGGACACCAACTCCATACCCCCAGTGATGTGCACTTCTGGACTTGTCTTCTATGTTTCCCTCAGTTTGGGGATAATAATATTTTCTCCTCTGGGATTTTAATGATCATGGCAGTTATATTATTAAGCCTTTTGCTATATGGGTGTTGCATACATTCATGTATTAAAAGTGCAAAAGAGAATTCTGACCTGCAAATGGTGGTATTGCCCACAATAAATGTCATCTCCGGTCCCCTCTGTCTGAGCTGGAATTCTCCTTTACAACAACTAAGGAGACTGAACTGTGACGAGTTGTTGTGAAATAACAAAAAGACGACACAAACAACAGGCCACATGGTCTGAAGACTTCACATGTAGTTGTCTCACAGCCTTGCATGTAATATAAGTGCATGTAAGAGTCTTAAATCTGATGTGGACAAATAACAGATATAAGTTATAGCTGTGTAACTGGGCTCAGTTCCTTAGGTTGAATTGACCTTGCTCATTCTATCACTGTGCAAAAACATGTGAGGAGCAAAGTAGCTGATATAAATAACTGGTGTTTGCCTTAGAGTCTTTGAATCTGTTCAGCTTCAGCAGCTGATTAACAAAGCACTTTGTAGTATTGCAATAAAGGTTATAACACCACAAGTAACACAAACAGTATTTGAATTTCCAAAACACACTTGGTGTTTACAGTAGCTTGTGGTACCACGTATTTGAATAGCCAACATTTCTTATGGTTCATACAACAAGTAATACAATTTGGTAACACTTTACTTGACGGGGCACAAATACTTAATAACTCAGTTACTAGTGAAGTACAAATTATGAACAAATCATGGACAAATATAGTTGATACTTGACATAAGAACAAGCATGAGATCGGTGTTATTCATGATTTATTCCTTCAGTAGTTCCTTAGTAGATCCTTCAGTAGTTCACAAAGGTTTAAAGAATTTACAGATATAAGACTTAGTTTGTGGTTAATTAACACATAAGTAATAGTATAATACAATATATGTGCCCCGTCAAGCATGTTACCGGTTCATGTTTATGTTGAAATGTTAAAATGGTTTTCCCATACTTCTCAGAAGGAAAACTGGTTTTGGCCATTGTCAGTTTCCAAAATAAACTATTCCCATTGTGATTCTCAAACCCACATAATGGAAACCAGCTACAAACAATGTCATGCTTGTTTTGTGAGAAAATCCCTTACTTCTGCTGAATAAGTTCAATCCATCATTCATCTTGTTTATATAATAACACTGAATATTTTTTTTAAATAAGAGGGAGCAGAAGCAAAACCACCGCTGTTTAGTGGCTTGTAGTGACTCCTTATAACTCGCATAGACATGGCTGGTTCGGGGTATTTCGTTCGTCCTGAGAGCTACAGCTGCCCCCTTTGCATGGACGTTCTCCGGGACCCTGTCAACATCCCCTGTGGAGACACTTTCTGCCTGGATTGCATTAAACTGTACTGGGATCAGGCTGACCATGTAGGAGTGTACAGTTGCCCCCAGTGCAGGGCGACATTCACTCCACGGCCTGCGTTGCAGCAGTACGTCACTAATTCAGGACAGGATTGCCGAAACTGGCCAGAGCAGCCAAGCTTTCCGGCCCTCCAGCAAGACACCCTCTGTGATTTCTGCACGGGTCACCGAAACAAGGCCATCAAGTCATGCCTGATGTGTTTGGCTTATTACTGTGAGGTTCACATCAAGCCCCACTACGAATCAGCCACCTTCAAGAGGCACAAGTTAGTCGATGAGATGGGACACCTGGACCGCAAGATATGCCCTCAACATGAAAAGGGGTTTGAGCTTTTCTGCCGTTCGGACCAAATGTGCATCTGCGTTCTCTGCACTGTGCGAGAGCACCGCAGTCACAACATTGTCTCTGCTGAAGAGGAGCGAGCTGAAAAACAGGCAAGGATCTTCTGATTGGCTATGATTAAGCAATTATTTACTGAGAATGGAAATTAAGCCATGATGCATTCTTAATGGCATTTGGCATATTAATCTGCTAGTGTGATTTAAAAAAATGCCAAATGTAAATTAGTAGCATTTTAGTTAGAATATAGTTCTTAAAGGAAGAACATCATAGCAAATAGTGTGAATATATTTTATCGTACTGATTTATTTGCATATTTCTAAGAAGAATGAAGTTCAGCAATGATATATTTTAACCATTTATAAATTATGCTTTTCTCTGTGTTGTGTGGCTGTAGAAAGCATTGATTGTGACTCAAAACGATGTACAGAATGTCATTCAGGAGAGGATGAAGGAACTTCAGGAGCTTAAACACAACGTAGAAACACTTAAAGTAAGCTGGACCTTGAGCATGTTTATATCTTACAAAAACTTCAATGAGGCATCAAGTTACTAAGATGCTCTTTGCCATCGGCGTGACCAGCCACCTATAACCTATGTCGTTCCTTTGTCTGACAGGGTCACGGCCAGAGAGCCATGGCAGACAGCGATAAGATCTTCACGGAGATGATACAAGCAGTGGAGCGCTGGCATTCTGAGATCACCTGCCTGATCGAGTCCACCGAGCAAGCGTGCATGACACAGGCACAAGGCTACATGGAGCGCTTGGAGATGGAGATTATGGAACTTCAGCAGAGAGATGCAGACCTGAGGCACATACTGGACACTGAGGACAGCATCCACTTTCTGCAGGTGTGCGTTTAGTGAAATGATTTCAGTTCTTCTGTATATCATAAATAATAACGTCACTGTATGTCCTGGTTTTCTGGTGCCTGTTTTGGAGTTTTATTTCACTACTGGTGTCAGGCTGACATTACAAAGATTTCCACGTGTTGTACAGCCGATACCTTTCATGAGCTGTGTGCTCTTTTCTTCCAGAATTTTCCCACATTGTGTGTTCCACCTGAGCCAATAGTCCCGAAGGTGGTCATTAACCCAGAGTTCTCCTTCAGGGACGTCACCAAAAACGTGACCGGCATGAAAGACCACCTAGAAGATATCTGCAAAAAAGAACTAAACAAAATCTCCAAAACAGGTGAGAGAAAATTTGATGCTTGACTGCCCGAAATATACTTAACCACAGGAAAACTGGTATTTTGAATGACATTTTTTTTATTGTTTTATAAAAATCAAATTTGCAGTCAATGAAACTCCAATTTACATACTGTTATCCAGGACTGGAGATAAACATTTCAAAGGTAAGGTTCTGTTATGCATGCTGCAAAAATTTCAAATGCAAAACACCTAATAAAAAAACAAACTCTAAACTTTAAAAAGGGAATTCGTCATAATACAAGCTATCATATCATATAAGTACTTTTTATACATTTATTTTGAAGTTCCATCAAGAGTTGACCTTCAAGAACCCAAAACCAGAGAGGACTTCTTAAAATGTGAGTTTTGGAAAAAAAATGTGTATATTTACTGGTGCAAATATATTAAACATAAAAAAAATGAAAATTTTGAAAGCAGCTAAATTATTGTCTGCAGTACTTGTGGTATGTCACTGAAGCGTGATTTTGACAGGCAGAATTGAATTGTAGTACTATGTTGTCCTTTGTGAAATGTTTATTTATTTATTTATTTTATTAGATTCCTGTCAACTCACCTTAGACCCCAACACAGCCTATAAGGAACTAATGTTATCAGATGGTAACCAGAAAGTGACGAGAAAGAAAACTGCCCTGTTTTATGCAGATCATCCGGAGCGCTTTGATGGTTTCTCTCAGGTGCTTTGCAGAGAGGCACTAAGCGGATCCCGTTATTACTGGGAGGTGCAGTGGAGTGGAGAGTTCTCCATTGGTGTGGCGTACAAAAGCATCAATCGCAAGGGGAAAAATTCTTCCAGCCTTCTTGGTTACAACGACAAATCTTGGAGTATGCTGTGCTCTGACACTGGCTATTCTGTGTGGCACAACAAACTGGACAAAGATCTCCCTTGCTCTTCACATGCTGCAAGGGTTGGAGTCTACTTAGATCACCGAGGTGGCTCTCTGGCATTTTATGCTGTGTCTCAGTCCATGGAACTTATTTACAAGTTTCAGGCAAAGTTCACCGAGCCATTATATGCAGGGTTTGGTGTTGGTTCTACTGTCTCCATTTGCCACTTGAGGGACAGTTTTTCCAATCTCCACTGACCAAAGTAACAAGACACAAATAAAGTGGATGCACGTGGAGATGACCCTCCAGCCTTGTATGTTGGACAACGTTGTCAGCATGGGTCAGTATCCCTCAACGTCACTGACATCGTACGAAGTCCATGTCTGAAGTCTAAGGTGGAAACAACACAATATCATTAAACTAATTAATTGATTTATATTTATATGTGTGCGAAATATCTTAAGCCATGGGGCAACACAGTAGCTAGCATTGTAGCCACACACCTCCTCGTTTGGGCATTTGAGTCCTGGCTCTGTCTGGGCGGAGGGTTTTACTATTAGGACTTGAGGTTCACCATGGGTCATTTTTGTTATTTGAGTATCCCTGTAGTTTGTTTAGTTTTTGTGTATTTGTAAATCCCACAGCACAATATAACTGAGTAGGTGGCAGTGGTGACCTAATAGGTAGGGATGAGCACTTGTCATTAAAATATTGTTGGTTTGAATCCCTGACCAGCAAGGTACTGCTCCCTGGGCACTGAATTAGCTGTCCCCTGCTATGTCACCCATGTGACATATGAGTTAAATGCAGAGTATGTGTTTTGTTGTGCTATAATGTGTCAACAACGACAACTAATCACTTACCCCTTCACCAATTTCACACTGATTCCAGCCTGTTGTTAATAAATTTGCAGTAGTGACACACAACCTACATCCTTTTAGTTCCACTTCTGGCCCCGTCATGCCCAGGATATGTTACACGACTACCATAGCAACCACAAAGTTCTCATGCAGTCTAGACAAAATCTTACCTTATAACATTTACACAGTTCATACAAGTTTAACATTTTAATGTAGTTTGTCTGAGATGCAACACCCATAAAACCTTAAGAAAATCACAGCAAGATATCAGTCTTACAATGACTCAGGCATTTTGGATAATAGCATAAACAATTTTCCCAAGGGGCAACTGTACCTCCTACTGGTGAAATGAAATGCTATTTGAATATATTAAATTCAATAAAACTGAATTATATTGTAAAGTTATATTTGAAAATGTGGCTTGTGTAAGTCATATCAATGCATAATAATTTGTTTATTTGACTAATTTATCTTATTATTATGAATGACTGGCTGGATTGTCTCACAGTCTCACAGTCCCCCTGGCAGAAATGCCTAGAGTCACCTATGAATGCTACATTTGATTTCAGTGTGGATCTTTTACCGGTCTTTGTATTCACAAAATTTTAAGTACTTGAAATACACTTTAAATGTACACAATATACACAAGTGTGCAATGAATTGCTCAGTTAATGAGCTACGTGCAGAAAGGCTCTACAACTCATCACTCATTAGGAGACACTAGCTGGTACTACGCAGGTGTACCTCACAAAGTGGACACTGTGAGGATAATACCAATTTGCAAATAAGTAGCAATATTACTAATATTAACTGTAATAAATAGCAGAGGAATATATCAATTTAAATACATTATGCACATACAAATGTGAGTAAAAATGCAACAAAAAATCCACTACGTGCACCAAAATAATAAACAATCTGAGAAAAATATATTAGCCAATGCAAAATTATGAGTATAAGCGGCCAAAATGAGATTTCTCTGCAGGATTCCCAAGCTCGGTGGCAGGGTGTGGGGAGCTAGGGGGTCTGTAGCAACCTCAAGAACGAGCCGATGCCCCTTTGGATCTAGAGAAGCCAGCAAATGTAGTTTGGGTGTCTTAGGGACGCTCCAGAGCAGACCAGGGACACGCGGGATGGATTTCACGTTTCAGCTGACTTGGGAAAATCTGGGGCATCCCATGGAATAAAACAGAGTTTGTGGTCTTCAACAGAAAGAACTGGTCTGACCTGCTCAGCCACCACCACTCTCAACATACATTTATTGGTGTTTCTCCACATTACAGCAGTCAGTTAAAAAAATAACCTTCAGATACTTTCATTAGCATGGATTCCCTGCTGGATCCTGCCAGCTGTCATCATGCTGACAGCCACCAAGTTCTGGGGCTAGAAAACGTTGAGAGATGAGATGACAGGCGGGATGTTTTGTTCTGGTGGCACAGGATTTATGAGGCTCGTCACCCATACACACCCCCACTCTTCATTAGTGACATTGATAATGACTGAACCCAGGTAACCTAGGTGTAAGAGTTCCAAAAATGCCATTTTTGCAATTTGGAAAGCTGAAATATTAGACAAAGATACTGTAAAGCATGTTGTAGTTTTCTTTCCTTTTACAAGGCATTAGGTTGCGTGCCACTTCGTCAAAATTAACATTTAAATAAAAGAATGGCTTAATTATGGGGGGTAAAGGATGAGAGGAGCAGTATACATGAATCTTACTGAAGTTCTTGCAGGATTAGAACTTCCCCTTGTGAATATCATCATACCATCATTTTTGTTAGCTATTTTGCGACTGTTAAAAATGAAATTTCCATAAAGCATGGCTGGCTCTGTGACTCTAGGTGGTAAAGTAAGTATCATGCAGTTTCTTTAAGCTACACTTCCAAAATGACTAAGGATGCAGACCCTTCTCCCTTTACTGAAGAAAGGAAGTGGAAAGCTCTGCATGGCTTGTACACCTGTTATGTTTAACTGAACGCCTTTTTTATTTTTTTAAACTCCAAATACAACACACAACAAAATGAACACAGCGTTACTGTTTACATAATACTGCCACTTCCTGTATGTGTTGTATTATAAACAATAAAAGCAAAATCTCAACGGAACATTGTGCAAATATACATGTGCTTTATCCCTCCCTCAAGTACTAGCAATATTAAAAGCTTGATTTGAACTTGGAAAATTCTAACAATCAAATTACACTTGTGGGAGCCCCACTGGACCTTATTTGCCCAGTTGCACAGTGGTTCTTAGAACTTTAGGAACATGCCGTATCGTCAATGACACACGGGTGCTCCGAGTCAAGCAGTCTCCCATAGAAGCATTTGTTGCTGACAGATTAGCTACCCTGTCAGTTAGGATGTCCTGATTCACACCCTGGATGCCATGAAGAAAGTACTTATACATGTCATGCTGAAGAACCAGAAGGCTCCGGGGCTCCACCAGCAGAGACAGTAGGTAGCGGCTCTTTTCAGTTTGGGGAACATCCTGCTGTTGAAACAGGAAGACAGACTGAACAACCACAATTCCTAAATCCATGAAATCTAACCCACAGAATGCATTCAATGGGACATAATGCATGATGCTCATTTGACAAGCCATTAATATTTCAATGCATATTAAAACACTATTTATGGATTGTTTTTCTCCTGGGGTAGAACTCAGGAACTAACCAAATGTCACACAACATTATTGTACAAAAACTCATGGTAAATCTTTACACGACACATTTAGTTGTCCTCTGCTTTTCACTACTCCTGTAATAACCTGTGTCCTTAAGTATAATGTAAACACTAATAAGATGAAGGGCATTTAAAAACAATATTGTAGCTGGTAATACAGGGATTACTGACTTTGAAGTTTTTTGGTTGCAGTCCCAGGAGAGAATGGACCATAACGCCCTTGACTGATACATTTAACCTGATTTGGTTCAGTTATCTAACAATATAAATATGCAAGTTGTAAGCTCATTTGCATAACAGTACAGTTACGTAACTAAATGTAAATATTCTTCAAAGACATACAGACAAGGTTCACGCAAGTACTTCATCTCTCAAATTCAGCACAGTTCCCTGGGGACCAGATCTGTTTACAGTAATCAGATGGTGCTTTTGGTACTAATATTGGCAGTAATAAAGTCTGTTTTTACATACAACCATCCGGTCTTATAAAATTTACCTTAGATTCTACCCATTATGGCCTCAAAATGTGGAAGAAATGTTAAGCAGTTCTGTTTTCAGGTAAGTTTCTGAGTAAAAGAGCCCAATCAATAAATTCATTCAAAAAGAATGAGGCAAATGGCAAGTGCTATACAGGTCTCATATTTAATAGTACTTATGGTTACAATTTGTTCAAGACTAGGAATCTCCGTATGCAGTTACATTCACATGTAGTACAGCTCGGAAAGTGAACGAGGAAAAAAGTATTGTGTGTTTACCTGTGAATTGTCTATTGGATGGTAGAAATCTAAGAGAGTATGAGACCCCAGGTTAATAGTAGTCACTGTGGGGTGGTAGAGCGGCCCATCCTCATGTGGCTGAGAAAGAAAACACAAAAACATCAACAAAGCACTTATCTGTCGCACTACCTATATGCACTTTTAAACACAGGTGCTATGGGACAAAAACACATCTCGTTAGAAAATAAGTGAGACACAACGGTCAGATTGTCATGTCATGTTCAAATTGTTTTTCGTCACACTTTGTGTCCATTTAGCTGTAATTACGGTAGTATTTTATATACAAGGATATTCTGCTTTTAGAGAATAGTCCATTGTAGGAGAACTGCACATTTGGTCACATGACTGATCTGTGCTAATCACTGTATAGATATATCTGCAGTAAATATTTATAGGTCTATTAATTCCTGATGGCTGCTGGGGGGTTGTTACACCCATGAATACTCCTCGCAGCAATATTTTCAGGTATTCAAAATTTGCAAGAATTATTTTACCACAACTCTCATTAAGTTGAGACAGAAGTCTCAAAGAGGATTTGGCACTAGATATATGTAGAAGGGCTCATTAGAGGGGCAGCCAGACAACCAATGCATCTTATTACTACAACTGAAACAGAATTTTTATTTATTTTTTTAATTTTGAAGGAGGTTACTTCTAAGCAAGTTTTTAAATAAGAAAATATGGAAGGCGGTGATGAGAATCAGAACCAATTTTATTTGTTTGTAATACACATGATAATAAACTTCCCGATTTGGAATCTTTGTATGCTGCCTGCAGCCTATCCGACATTTACATGCCTGTCACATACAGCATCAACTTAATGAACAGGCAGAAATTACAGAAAACTCTTCATGAGTCTACATAACTCTCTCAAGCTCTACTTCTGAACATTCATGTTTAAAAAGCACGTCAAACATTTATAAACAAGCAATTTCCACAGCTCAAACTACAATTTCAGTCCATTAGGCCCTAGCATAACAAAATTAGTATTTATATTATTGCAAGAGAAATTAATAATTCCATACCATAATTCCTTCACCTGGTTTGTATTCATTCACCAAGACATGATTGGCAGTTTTCCCAGAAAATACTCCAAGGGCAGAAATCTTTTCAGTGTATTTCTCAAGCCAGCTGGGCAGTTTCTCAGAAAGCATCCCATTAGGATGGGGCAGGCCACCTGCAAATACAGACACTCATCTGTATGGCTACACTTTACGTGCAAAGGGATGACAACAAACATACAGAAACAATTGTAGCAGTTTGCAATGCAAATAAATTGACATTACTGGGAGTAAGAGGCTAAGATTTCACTCTTCTCTAATGAATTAAGTGCACGTTCAATAAGATTTTTTTAATCCAGTCATCAAAATTAGGGTAGATATGTATATACTGTATACCTTTACATGTATTTACCTATACAGTCAGCCCTCGTGCATTCGCGCATCATGATTTCATTGGAACCGAACTTATTTTTTCTGTACATCTTTACATAATTTTTGATTGATTGAATACCTGTACCCTGTACGTACAGTACATGTTTCCTTTACGGATTTTATTGAATTGTACCCTGGTTATGTATATGACTTCTGTCAATAAGTTTACAGTCCCGTTCATTTACTCATTTTACCTTACTGTGAATGCAAAAGAAAACGGCAGCCTATGGCGTGTACGATGAATTATTAGGGGTAACATTAGTATACTGTACTGTAAATGTGCTAGTGTGACAAATATCTGTAAGGCGATACTGTACTCTATTTTAGTATTTTTACATCAAACGTTTTTTTTTAAAAGGTAATGTATTGAGCTAACTTTTAAATGAAATTAAAGTGTTTTGGAAGTATGACTGGGGTCAAATTTAGGGTTTAAACTATAGAAATAAGCATATATTACCATTCTTAGTGACTCTACCAAACATCCACGAATCCTCCTCATTCGCGACGGACATACCTAACCTCGCAAATGTCCGAGGTCTGACTGTACTGCAATAGCATATGGTTTAATGACATGTTGTATTGCCCATATTGTACTTAAACTAAAATGTAATCATTAACATATTCTAAACCCAGAACAAAATCACCATTTTTAACAATTTATATTCACTTCTAGTATTTATTTGTAAAATATAAAATATAAATATCCAACCACAATTCATCCCAATATTAATTATATAAGATATAATGATAAAAAGGACAATTTCATTTAACTGAACTTGCATAGCTGTTAACTTATATTTACTTTGGTCATTTTCATTAGTTTTTCATTTTAAACTGTCAAGCAAAGCTAAAATTAAGGCTTTTAAAACAGAATACAAGGTTGGCTACAATAGCTATATACATAGTATAACAAACGCGGCTGATTTAAATGTCGTTATACCCCAATTCTGAAGTCGCCGGCCAGAAAGCTGGGTCCACTTTGGTTTTGGGGCTTTGTATACCTTCAACAAAGAAAAACATTTCAAGGACCAATATATATCAACTTAAAACATCAATTTTAATACAGCCTGAATTTAGGAGACTCAGATCAAAAGCACTGTCACATTACTAATAGGCTCCGGCAGGTAAGCACATTGACAAGTGGAAAGTGCAAACAGCAGCCCAAAATGCTTCATATTCAACTTTTTTCTATGCCCATAAATGTCACATTAATTATTTTAATAAATTATATGTAATAATATTTTTTTATAGAGGATATTTCTTACTCTTTTTGCCAACCATTGCTTTGTTGTCATTTATTTGAAAAACCACAATGAAATACAACCATTTTACAATGGTTCAAACAAAAATATTGGTGAACTCCACCCTCAATTTTCTCACAGAAGCCTGCAAAAAAACTCCAGTAAAGCAGGTACCACAATAAAGCTCCTGCTTTCTCAGTAGATTCAGTTGACAGTTACATTCCACAATTGATCAGTTCCTCTTCTGGAATTTTACAGTGAGGTCCTGACTCACCAGATCAGGGGGTACCCCAAGAGCCAGATCTCAAAATCTTTTACAGATAATTATATGAATGTTTTCATCTTTATTTGGTATCAAAATAAAACATTCTGACAACAAATCTAACCTGAGAAATTTTCAAACTTTACCTGCGGATAAATATTAGTAATACTGCTAACATAATACAATCATCAGGTTACAAAGGAACTATATTCATTAATATATGAGAAAATTACTTGCTGTAGAAGGTATGCTTCTTCATCCTTGCTTATGAATTCAGGAACATAATAAGCAGTAGAAGGCGCCTTGGAAAAACAAAAGTCAAATCCTGAACATTCCTAAACTTAACAAAACTAATAATTAAACGTTGGTTGCCACTGGACAGCATAGTTATTTAGCTATTATAAAGATATATACCTTAATTAATACTTCAAAGTTAATCTTAAAATGAGAATCGTCCCGGTAAACGGATTGTTCACATGCCCTGGCTAAAATAGTAATGCTACCGAGATGATACCTACATGCATCTTTCTTGAGCATCTAAATCCAAATACTCCTCATCCTTCTTATTTAAATGTAACATTGCAAGTGCGAAATCAACTAATCATTACACACACACACCCCCACACACACACACACACACACACACACACAAATACAATAAAATAAATAATTATAAAATAATGAAAATAAAATAAATGAAGCAGGTGAGTGAGGAGAGTTATGATAAAACGTGCACTTACGCCTTCTCGAAACCGAAGTTTACAATCACTAATCTACACAAGTCTTGAAGTGAAAACTGCATAACCAAACAGAAATCTTGTGAAATGCTCGAATACACAAGTCACGTCACCATTTCATTTTCTAAAACGCTACGTTCAAATCACAGACATTGTCGTGCAAAGCAACATTGCAACACTGATGACAGTTACATACAGACACACATAATACATGATAGACGTCGTAATTTTCAGAAATGCAGAGAGCGGATAAAATACCTCTTTAACTACAAAAGTTTCAAGTTGCTTGACAATTTCCCCAGGTTTCTCCATATTGCCATTCAGTAAGCCCTATGAAATTGTAAAAACCAGATTATCAGTTATCAAGCAGCCATACCGCAAACAATTATATAACTGAAAATCAGTTTTACTAGATAGTGTAACTCTAGGTTATAACATTAAACCCAAACATTCTCCATTTCCCGGAAGAAGAGAAAAGACTGCTTCCGGCCATCTGCGAAACGTTAAGTGGTTAAACACTACGAAGACCACAGGACTCGAGGTCTCTGTTTCAAGGTCCCATTCGTTAATATTCACGATATCCTACGGTCGGTAGAAAAAATGGCGAAATCACTCGAATTGATTAATGAAAATTATTCATTTTTAGTGAGGCTGGGTATGATTTTAAAACAAGTTCATTTCCGGTAGCCAAGTGAAATACACTTTCAAAATAAGAGCACGCATTAAAAAAATAAAACATATAACACATCATTTAAAGTATATATTTTGTCTATATTCTGTCTTAAAGCAAATATAACGGTTAGTCGTTTAACCACATTTCGACCTAAGTATAAATAAGCAGTAGCAATATAATGGATGGAACTTTGAAATATTTCCTACGTACGCGGAATCCTGGAGGATCGCGTTAATATGTATTTAATCCCTACGCTCAGGGGCCAATAAGTGTTTATATGTTATACCGACAAATTTTAGAAAAGCATTACGCATATGACTATGCATGTATGTTTCTCAGGGATATTGTTGAAGAATTGTTAGCAATAGGTAAGATTCGATTCTGTCGTAATTGTTTCGGCCGTTAGGCCTAAGTGCCGTACGTGGGTCTAATACGGTAAGTGTGTTAAGCTTGAAAAAGTATTTAGTTATTATCTTCGGGGGTGTAATAAATCGTTTTTCTGGTACTTAAAATGGTTTAGATTATTGTAAATCCGTTCATGTGTCATCTATCATTGACTCATTGGAGTACCTAAAGTACTGGCAAGAGAGGAAGCCTGTCTTTTCTCATTGGCTTGATAGGGAAGTGAATACTGTATATATCTATATCTCAGCCAAACGTACTTAATATTACAGTATTAATATTACAATTTTCCACTTTTATTTACATTAGAGAAGTTATGAACAGGAAAAGGAGCCAGAAAAACAAAGAGCCGGCAAGAATGGCGGCCTCCTTGAGTTATCTACAATTAGCTAGCAAGCAAGAGGTGAGCTTGAATTCAGGAAGTTTCCCAACCACCCATGAGACGACTGGTACATCAGGACTTGAAACGCCGGGGCCTTATAACTCCAAACCCTCAAACCTGTCGAAAGCTGAACCAACTGATGAGTTCAGCCAAGAGTTCACAGATCTGCTCACCCTAAATAATGAAGAGGGGCCACAGAAGAAAGACTATGACTGGGAACCATATGAAGGAGACTCCTACCAGGAAGCTTGTATGCCATCACAGGGCTGCTCTCAGACATGTAAGGACTGTATGCGATGTCCCTTTTTTTGGGGGGGGTATGAAACAGAAATGAAAATATTATTTTGTACTATGATGCTCTGGTTCTTGTTTTACTAACTTTGGGGAACACTGGCACTTAAATGATATTTTAAAACATAAGTCATATATATCTCTTAGTTATTGGTGTACGATTTAGCTTTTATACACAGCATGAGAACATTAATGAATTTTGTTTTTAACCTTTTGTCCCTTTGGAATGTTGCTGCCCAAGGTTCACTTATAAAATCTCTGCCTTAAGTACTAGGCTGATAATCATGACAGCAAAGTCTATTAAATCTGGCTTCATTAATGTGATCATGAAGCATCTAATCATCTTGCAGCCACTTATCAAGAGCATGGGGCTTGAAGCTTATCCCAGGGACACTTAGGGCAAGTAGGGGAGCACTCTGTATAGGACATCAATACGATGAAGTAAAACTGACTGATTACTATAGCAGTGCTTCTCAAACGGGACCTTGGGGACCCCCAGACAGTGCATGTTTTTGGTACCTCTGGAGCTGGGAGGGAGCAAAAACATGCACTGTCTGGGAGTCCCTGAAGAACGGGTTGAGAAACGCTATAATGCTGCTTTTAGGAAATTTTGAAGATGATTCAATGGTAAACAAAGAGATGAAGATAGTGATAGGTGTTGTTGAACTTGTTTCAGTTCATTTTATTCCATTCAAATCACTTACTTACCCCCAAGGGGCAATTAAAAAGGCACATGGAGTAGCACAGCAGCCATTCACACATAACAATAAATATAGAATAAAAGGACATAAACACATAACATTTGCCTAACAGCAATACATTTTAATTCTGCGTGTTCTAATAAAGTTTTGAGAATGCGGTATCAAAGAGCATTTGCATACAAATGATAATTACTGAATATAGGTGTAATTTCAAAAGGAAATCTATATAACATCTGAAGAGATCAGGGAAAGAGGGACGGGGGGGGGGGCACTTGCAGAAAGGGAGGTCAGAAGAGCTGGAATTGTCGGCTCAAGGATAGAAAGGGTTAGGGTCTTAATACTGCAGGGGGTTGTGATGGTTTTGTGTGTTTTTTTGATGGATATGGAAATTACAGTTGCAGAAGGTGAGGTTCAAGTTCTTGGTAGCTTTGGGGAACAGTGGTGGTTGTACCCTCAGTAAAGTTGCAGTTAAGTAGGGGTAAATATCTAAATGGTGGCCTTCATGGTAGAAAAGCCTCATCCTGGTTGATTGCCCCAAATTTCAGCTTATTTCACTTGCCACAGTACCTGGGCTCTCCAGAGCGGTAAGATGACCCAGTTTTATGCATGCAGGTTTAACAGGTCTAAGAAAATAAGGAGAAATGAGGAATGTAGAGCAACTCCTGACCTGTAGAGTTGGTCTCCTGACCTCATTTGCACACTTATTTACAACTGCATTGCACATTCTGTTTTTGCACACTGCACTTTTTAATTGTTGTTTTTCTTACTATCTATTATTTGGGCAAAAGCTTAGTTGAATTTATTGTTGCCGTAAAGCCTGCTGTTTCCTTTGAGGTCAAGAAGTCTGTCTCTGTCTGTCTGTTAGTCAGTCAGTCAATCATCTTATATAATGTACTCTAATCAGTTGTCTTATATAATGTTCTCTATATTCCAGTCACTTACCCAGATGGTCACAGTTATAGGACAGCTGCTGTCTCTCATGAGTGTCTTGATCGTCTGCTCCAGAAGCTCCCTGAGTTAAATAGCTGCCGCGGCTGTCTGGCTGCTTTTGTTCTGGAAAGAGGTATGTTTATTCACACTTGACATTCACGGTGTATCTGTGCACTTACTGTTCTGCTTGTCGAAAGCTAAAATGAAATTTTCATTATTGTACTTTGAGTCTGGTGTCTTAATGTTAAAATGGTGGAATTGCATTCGGCTTGCAAATGAACACGAAGATGAATAGTATAGTGTTTTCTAGTGTTATAGTAGCAGAGTTGTTTTTGCACCATACAAAGTAGTCTGTGAATGATGTTTTTATTTTATGGCATGTGAGAAAGTGAGGATATTCTCAATTTTTATGGAATAGTGGTTGCCTTTTTTTAAAAGTTTCTATATCTGAATTTAAATGTGAACTCCTTCCCAGAGGTGACTGGATCTGATGGACAAATTTATGAGCAATATGAAACTGTGGCTCTTGGCACAGGCAATACAAGCAACAGTGGCTGGCTGTCTTTCAATGGTTGTGTGGTGCACGACTGCCATGCCATGGTTATGGCTCGTCGAGCACTTCAGAGGTAATACACTTTGCATGACTGATTGTCAAGGGATTCTAGGGTTTGGGGTTGTAGACATGATAGCTCAAAGAATATAATATAATAACGATAACATCTAATCATGTGCTTTTCTTGCTGCTGTTATTTTCCTTGAATACAAGGTCAAATAGTTATTTGAGCTGCTATGGGTTTTAATAACAATAGTAGTCATAATATTAGTTTGATGTTGCCCAATGAAAAATCGCTGCCAGTTACTCATTGGTCATTTAAGAAACATCCTCAGATCTGATAGGCCCACTGACCTACAATACTGGCTACTTAAATGTTTCATGAACGTGTTCTAAATGTTTTAAATAAAACACAGCTGTCATTAAAAAAAATCCATTACCCACTGAATTTGCATCATGTTTTGGAAAACTTTTTTTAGCATTCAATTTAATTCCCATGCCCACAAACCATGTTCTGTATTTTGACACCAATACAAGGTGTCAAAGGGCAGCAGTCAAAAAACAAACAAATAATTTATTAAAATGACGACACAGTCCTTGTAAATGTGAGTCACATACGTCCATAGTGTATGACTGTATGTTTGCATTTGCCCTGCATTGGACTGGCATGCTGGCATGCTGGCATGACATGCAGCAGGTACCCTTGCTTTGCATTCTATGCTGCCAGGGTTGGCATACAGGCCTCCCTGCAGCACGTTTTGTAATAAGCAGATGGAAGATGGATGGATGGTCGAATGTAGCAGCGTTAGGTTTACAGTATGTTTAATCATTGGTAACTGGAGAAGACCAGCACTAAAAATTAGAGGATAATACTAAATTCATTTTAAAAAATGATTTTATTAAAGAATTTTTTAAATGATCTATAGACATTGATATGGCTCATTTGTGTGGGTTTTGTATATTTATGTAGTTAAGGACCTTGCTTTTAAAGAATTCCCTTCTTCGGATTCTCATTATTCCGTGAGCAATCGCAGTGTGATGCCTGTGACTGAACTACCTTCGCTTCTGCTGATGGATTCCCCAATATTTCTTTTGAGGGCAGGTTCTTGTTCAAGCAGCTTCTTCTTTTCTTCAGTAATGACCCAAAGTGTAATGAAAGTTCCATCTATAGAAGCTCTCCTGACAGTAATCTTCTTCAGCTCAAGCCAAGAATCTATCTGCATCTCTATACCAGCATAACCCCTCAAGGTGCAGCACAGTGTGTTTTCCTGTAAGTATGCAAAGGACTTTTAAATTTAAAAACGCACGACACATTTCTGCACATTTTACTGTACAAATGCCAAGGACCAATTATTCAAATTTGAGGTATAACGAAAAGCTATTTGCAATTTGATATATGTAAATGTCTGACACATTTTTCTACTATGGTTTAAAAAAATGAATTTAATTCAGCGTGCTACAGCTTCCTCAAATTAGGTATAAATATAGTCATTATATCTTGTTCTGATATATTTTAATATGATAATCTAAATCACATTATAATAACTGTTAC